GATTGATCATCATGTCTTCTTCAGTTTCATCTGCATCCACAGGTACTCACATTCTTTCTCAAATTTATGTCATGTTTTACTTTTAGTAATCACTCACTACCTTCAAAATCGATTTGTAACGTTTTGGATGGTTTCTTTATAGGAGCGAAATTTGTTCCAGAAGAAGATAATTTCTTGCAGAGACATGTCGCCTTCTTCGATAGGAACAAAGATGGTATCGTTTATCCATCAGAGACATATCAAGGTATCTAAAATGTCTTAATCAGTCTTAACTATAGATTTGTCTTGGAGAGTGATCTTTTCTCTTCTTTTGTGTGGCTCTTTGATATTTTAGATACTAATTTTATTATTGTTGGAACAAACAAAAAACAAGAACAGGATTTAGAGCAATTGGATGTGGATATTTGTTGTCTGCATTCGCTTCTGTGTTCATTAACTTGGGTCTTAGCAGCAAAACTCGTCCGGTAATTTCAAGATTATGATATTAATCAAACCTTTTTTTTTTGTCGCCTGAATAATATTGCACAGTTAAAAACTCAACTAAACAAAAAGAAAAATGAATCAAAATGGTGTGTTTGGTTATAGGGAAAAGGATTCTCATGGTCGTTTCCTATAGAGGTTAAGAATATCCATCTTGCCAAACATGGTAGCGATTCAGGCGTTTACGATAAAGATGGAAGGTACTGTAATGAACAATTTATTACTATTATGTTTGGTCTCTTTTAGCTTTCCAATGAAATAATTTACATTTTGTGGAGTATTTTTTTTATTAATTTTTATTTTTCTTTAATTTATAGGTTTGTGGCTTCGAAGTTTGAGGAGATATTTGTGAAGCATGCGAAAACACATCCCGATGCTTTGACGAATGAGGAACTCAAACAACTTCTCAACTCAAACAAAGAAGCTAATGATCGTAAAGGAGCGTAAGTATCGAACCGGTTTGATTAAATTCGTTTTAATACCAATGGTTGGTGGTCTTGTGGTTTTGAGAGGAAATTCTCAAATTCAAGATTA